TAGTTGAAATACGAAAGAAATCACAGCAATATTTCAAAGAAGGAGTCTGATTGTGAAACAGACTGTGGGATTGACGGTCAGAGAACGTCATTATTGAGATTCCTTAAATTTAGAACAAATGTTTCAGGAGATAAGTTTGCCAGGCAAGATACAGGATACCCAGTCACACACACACACACACACACACACACACACACACACACACAGAGCAATATTTGTTATATTAAATACTATGTTTTGCTTATCAACATTCAGATACGTTGGTGTTCTGTTGCTTTTATTCAGAAAATCTAGGAATCTGATATGATAAAATGATTATGAGGGCCAGGGATTTAGCTCAGTGGTTCCGCTGCCAGCCTCGAAAGCACAAGGTCCTGAGTTTGATCTCCGACACACACACACAGAAAAAAAGGTTATGAGAAGACCTAGTAATCAGACTCAAGATCTGATCCTTTCATTTAATGTTGGAGTTGGAGTGTTTTCTCGACCAAAGTTTTTACCACATTTCCTTGGAAGAGTGAAGCCCATGACCCAGTGAAGCATTTCCTAGAACTCAGGGAGAATCTTTTGGGAAGTCCTTTCTTTCTATATTTTGGTGACTGGTAGGGATTTTACTTTATTATGTTGTTTTAAAAAATGAGAAATACGTTTGAATTCTGGAGAATAAAGGAACATCTAAACTACTGAAAGCCTTAAATACTCAACAGCCTGGAGGGACAATGTCTTGTGTATTAAGGAACAGCATGGGGTGTTATCTGGCTGAGAAGGATCATCCAGTCTGCTTAATCAAGTGCCAGCAAGGCTGGGGTGTATTGTTTTTAATTCCCTTGATATACAGTGGCCCTTGTGTCCCGGCTTCTGTTTGTATTGGGACTGTAAAAACATTACAAACACCCTAACAGTAAACACTGCTGAGAATGTGAGGTCATAGTAATGTGACCTCACAGAGCACCAGATTCTTAGAAGGCAGTGTAGATCAGCAGACCCCGGAGCTGTGAGGAGAAAATACACTGGGAACAAGCTTCCCGGAGGAGTATGGCCCACATTCGCCTTCAAAGTTGTGAGGGTTTCTTCATGGTGTCTGACTGTTGCCGGTGAGTTTGTATTGCTGTCTGACTCAAAAGTAGCATTTTCTGTCTTGTTCACCCAATCTTGGAAGCCATGAAATGGCATAGGATGAAGCCATCTAGGAATGGTGGTGTTTGTCTCACTTTGTTCCTTTTCTTCTTCTTTTTTTCCCTGCAGTACTGGGAGTTAAGCCAAGGTAGTCACACTGGGCTATATCCTCTATCCTTTTTTAAATCTTTTGTTTTTAAGCAGGATCTCCTGAAGTTGCCCAGCCTGAGTTGAGACTTGCAATCCTCCTGTGTTAGCCTGCCAGACTGCTGGGATTACAAGCATGCATCACCATGCCTAGTTCCTTTTTCTCTTTTATTGGTTTATTTATTTTTCTTTTTAAGGAAAGACCCAGAACAGTTTGTTGCACATATGTTTTAAAATTGCATCTATTTGATACATATAAGGAACATAGGTGAAATCTACTGGCCTGGGGAAGATAGTAGAAGGAAGAGACATATATGTAGAATGAGAAGTAAGCATCATTTTAAGCAGTACAGTTTTCAAATATATACTTATCAAGGATGAGCTTCTTGTATTTAGACAAAACTAGCTGTGTGGTATTAGCATATTGTTTTCATGGAATGATTAAATATATGCCATAAATTGATCCCGAGATATGAGCAATAAGTACTAGTTTATCATGAAGGAATTCTTTAACATTTGTTTTTACTGTTTGATAGTTACTCTGTATACAGGAAGAGAATACATGGAATACATGGAATACATGGAAACACAATTCCATGGAGATTATATATATATTCTTTTAATTATAAAAATTACTCAATTGTAACTGACAATTCAAAGAGTAAATATTTTACATCCCAGCACTTCTGTGGGAAAACACAAAGTGAATTGCTCTTGAAACGAAATTACTGTGAGTTTACGTATTATAGGTATGCAGACATTAATACATACTCAATTTTCACAAAACTGCACAGTAATGTTAACTTTAGAAAGGTAGGCTCAGGATGAAAAAATATTTAAATGTATTTTCATGAAGATTTCATCATAATGAAGCAATTTATTGCAGTTGGTAGATATTTTCTCTTGGAGGTATAGCCCTCCTTAACCAGTAAGCCACCTTGATTTTCCAAGAGAAAATCTCTCTCTCTCTCTCTCTCTCTCTCAGAAAATCTCTCTCTCTCAGAAAATCAAGGTAGCTTACTGGTTAGGGAGGGCTATACCTCCTGGTTTGCCTGGGCCCATTCCAGTTTATGCCAGTTGTTCTGACATTGACTGTGGTTCAGTATTTGACTCAGACTTTTAAAAAAGAAGTATTATTAATAGGTGCAGTAACATACTACAGCAGGATGGGTTTGGTTGACACCTGTTGTATACTCTGAGCTTCTTTCATGGTCTAAGCTGGGAATGTGTGAACTGACATGGGCCTTTGCTAAAAGGCATGCTGGAACCCTGTCCCTCTTTCCCTGTCACAGCCGCCTTTCAAGGGCAGCTCATGAACTTCATGCTTATGAAGTGTGTTTGTAGAGTTGTGCTCAGGACAGTTAGTGCCGGCAAGTCAGTGGTGGTTGGGAAGTGAGTTCTTTGCAGCTACTTGGTGCCCCAGCTGGTCACGATGTAGCCCTAGCTGCATTTCCAGTGACAGTGAAGCTGCAAAAAATGGATCACCGCAAAAAATGGAAAGTTGTAAATTGAGTGGAATAAGTGAGTGAGAAGATATTACACGTGTTTGCCTTTGCTACAGTGGTCTTTATCATTATTACATTATGTATGAATTTATAACCTAGTTTTCTATTTCAAATTTTTAAAAACCCAGTCACTCAAATATTATGTATTTACCTTTTTAATGTATAAACCTCAGTGGTTTTAGTACAGTCTGTGTTGTTTAGTGTTATTATCTACCTTAATGATATTGCCATCACCTGAAAGAAACTCTGTACCCATTAGCAGTGCTACTTTAAATTGCTAATCCTTTTTATTTTGTAACAGTTATAATTACATATGTAATAACTTTATCCTCTCTGTTCCTTCATCTTCTCTGTCTCCTAATTTAGACAGTAAGATGTTACTTTATTTCTTGTGCAGACCAAGTTAAGGAACTAAGGGACTGAGAAAGGGCCCGATTCAGCTGAGCCTGGAATAGCTTTCATATTTGTAAAAGTTGTAACAAAACAACAGAGCAGAGTATGTGATCGAGACCTTATATAGCCTGCAAGTTGAAAATATTTACTATGTGTTTCACTACATAAAATCCTGAATGTCCCAATTTAAACTCTGAGGTAATTGTGTTAGAAGACATTTATTTTAATGTGAACATGTCTTTTTCACCGAGTGAAAAATGAAGATTTGGAAATTCCTGTAACCTCATCGGTTTTAGTGTTATAATAAGGTAACACTTGGAGCTGGCCACAGTCTATAGGTTGTGAACTCTGTTTAGAGCAGAGCTTCTCAAATGTGGCCTGTGGGGCTTCTTCCCTTCAGTAGGTTTGTGAGGGCAAAGTTATTTTCTTTTTCACTGTGTCAGTATTGTGTAGCATGAAAGCAACAGTCTGGGTCTTAGCAGAAATCAAGGCAGTGGAACCAAACTGTTCTTGTCCTCGTTCCATTTTGTCACTATCATGCAGTCACATGACAGTGAAGGACAGTTTCACCTAAAAATATCCAGTACAAGTTCATTTTATTATATTTCAATATCTGAATTCTTTTTAGTTTCATGCATGATAAAGTGAGAATAAGGCACTTTTCCTCCTGTTGTTTGTCCTCAAGGAAAAGCACACATACGTTATTGAGTTGGGGCCATAAACTCATCACATTTTCTTAGAAAGTCACTTTTCCATGAGAGGAACCCTAACAAACAATGGTTATTGGCAACCATTTTCTCAAAAGTGTAGAGACTGTGCCTATTACTTTACAGAAAATGGTGACAGTATATGAAGCCAGGGGTTAAATTTGAGCTTTTGGTAAAAATTCAAAGTTTGTGTACCATCAAAAGTTTAACAGCTTCTCAATACTCACAGACTCTTCTGAAGTTGATGACGGTAACATTAAAGAAAGTGATTTTTCTAGTATTGTGTAATGAAATGTGTCAAGACCAATAACCAGTGCATGGTACTAAGAAATAGGTGAACCTAGATAAAAGATCTGCTCAAAGTATAGCATAGATATGAGTGTAAGAGTACAAAAGGTGCTTTACCAGAACTAGTTTCTATATTGCAGTTAACTTTTAAGAAACTGCCATTTGTATTATTTTCATGTTTTGTCAAAAAAGAATATATATAATTGTTTAAGATACCCTTCCTTTTTGTAACTGAATATCTGTGAGAGGCCAAATTTTCTTAATGTACTCTAACCAGAACAACATATTATTACAAAGTTAATGTACCCAGTTTTCCTGTTAACCCAGCCATTAAAAGAAATTTGTAAGAAATGTAAACCACTGTTGTCTCATTAGATTTTATATTGTTTTGGAAAGTTATGCTTTAATAAAATAGGCTATATTACAGGAGATTGGTTTATTATTTTTAAGGAATATATAATATTCTATATAATATATTATATAGAATATATAATTTTATAATATATAGAATTTTTGTTTTAAATTCTAATATGGTACATATCTTTAGCCCATATAAATAGAAGCTCTTTGGAGTCCTCCCTTCTTTTAGAATATAAAGGTTCTGAGACCAAAATGTTTGAGAAGTACTTGTCTAAGATTGAGGTAATTGCCTTGTTAGTCTTTTGAAATATAGTAGCTGAAAATATTTTTATGACTTTTTAAGCATAATATGATGATTTCATTGAAAAGTTTTCATTTAGTTCTTTAGTGTCAAAATAATTTATTCAGGTCTTTCCCTTTGTGACATGTAAGAAGAATCTTTTTCCATTGTTATATCTTCTTTTTTTTTTATCAAATTTTATAGCAATGCTGGGGTGAAAAAAACACAGCTAGAGGATTGTTCTGAAATGGGGAGTACTCAAATTCTGGAAAAAGAGACTGCAGAAAGTCTCAGTAACGGTACCAGCAGCAACGTGGAAGCAGCTAAAAGACTGGCCAAACGCCTTTATCAACTGGACAGATTCAGAAGATCGGATGTCGCCAAACACCTGGGCAAGAAGTACGTTTTAACTCAAGACTCATGGCCATCTGAATTTATCGTGTGTGTGTGCATGTGTGTGTGAATTTTAAGTTTTCACTTCAATAACTAAGTCTGTTCTGTTTTCTTATAGCAATGAATTTAGCAGACTAGTTGCAGAGGAGTATTTGAAGTTTTTTGATTTTACAGGAATGACACTAGATCAGTCTCTCAGGTATGATTAAACATCACTTTTATTCTTTGGTGCTGCCAAATAATGAATTCTTACATGAGAAAGTGTTGTAGTTTAATTAGACTCTGTTTTTACTTTTTTAACCTGCTCAGTTACCTATGTGACTTTAGATGGTATCATAGATAACTAAGCATAGCAGAGAAAAATAAAGTTTTTTTTTATGAAATAGCACATCATCATCAACTGATCTATATCTAATGCTAAACCCAAGTCCAGATGGCATAGCAAAGAATGATGGCAAAGCAAATCTGGAGAAAAAAATGGATTTGAGAGTTTTCCTTTCAATTTTTTTTATTGCAGTAAAATACACATAATATTTGCTATCTTAGCCATTTTAAGTGTACAGTCAGTGGTATTAAATACATTCATAATACTGTGCATTCATCACCACTATCTATTTCTGTAACTCTTTTCATCTTATAAAACTGAAACTCTGTATCTAGTAAACAGTAACTCCCATTTCTTCATTTACCAGTCCTTTGAAACTACTGTTCTATTTTCCATCTCAATGGTTTTGATTACTCTGAGTTTACATTACATAATTGGAATTATACAGTATTCATCTTTTTGTGACTGATTTTAGTTAGCATATAGTAGCTTGCAGGTTCATCTATATTGTGACATATTGCAGGATTTCTTTATTTCCTTTTTAAGGCTGAGTAATATTCTATTATATGGATATACCCACTATTAAATTACCCTTCAATAAGACACAGATTGCTTCCACATTTTATAAATTATAAATAATGCTGTTGTAGATATAAGTGTACAAATAACTTTTGGGAACCCTCCTTTTAATTTTTTGAATAGGAGATTGAGTTTTGAATGATTTGCTAAGAAAGACAACACAGTTTAGATTGCAAAATTCTAGATGTTTTCCTAAGGAGTTGCTTATAATTGCCAAGTAGTCTTTTAAGATATTTTGGAATCAATGTTTGAAAGGAATAAAAATGATTGTCAATATAATAATCAGCAGAAAGTGTCCGTAAAATCGTTTCTAACAATACCCGCTTTTTGTTGACTGTTTTAAATGAAGTTGCCTAAAGCACACTGATTCTCACATTTCACATCATATTGTGCTGCACATGCCTGCAAGTTCCTGAAGGTAAAACTGGACAGCAGGTTTATAAACTACGTCTAAAATATCAGAGCCTGGAAGTGTTCTGAGGTCATCTGGTATAATTCTTCAATTGCACAAATCAGAGGCCTGGGAGGCGGAGTGGAGCTGATTAGGTTATGCCAGCTCTTTCTCTAAATCAAAGCTATTCATTGGTGTTCTAATGAAAATAGCCAAGAGAGAGGGAAACATCTCTATTTTTGCTGTGTGTTATGATATGGTTTAACAAGTTATGAAAAGTTAACATGATCAGTATAATTTAGGCTAACTAAATCTCTATTAAGGAAGAAAACAGAATTTCCACAGCAATAAGAGTAATTTCTTAGAATATTTTAAATGAGTTTTTCCCCTTATCATCACATAACTAGGGCAATGTATTTACATTATCAAATGAGGGTCATCTGAATTAATATATGCTAAATAATACTCTTAGTGCTTCTAATTTAGAGTGGTGTGTGGTTCTGGGCCTATTTACTATTATTACAAGAAATCTTGTATATCATTTATTCCATAATAGAAGGGATAAATTTATGGTTCCACTTGTATAATAAGTTAATAATTAAATGTTATGTAGGTAAAATAAAATACACAGAATGTATGTATAAGGTAACATATTGTAATTTTAATATTGGTCAATGGAGATTATCATGTAACAAAGTGATAAAAGAACACTTCCGTTTGTAAAGTTTTAAAACACCTTTTATGAGCATCCATTAAACTTGATGGTTTTTTCTTTTAATCTGACCTTTTAAAGCTGGATACTTGACATTTAGTCATAATAAGAAAATTACCTAACTTCCCCAGGCTTTCTTCATATATTGTCCACCCTATTGTTATTCTCTCACTTTTTATATTACATTTTATAAAATTAAAATATCAACATAAATTGATATTGAATCGCCATCTATTAAGTGATTTTTTGGGGAAATAACTATAATATCTTAAATTTATATAAATTAACTTTAATTGACAAATAGAAAAAATAGTAGTAAGTTTTTTATAATGTTATTTTCCCCCTTAATTCTTTTTTAGGTATTTCTTTAAATCATTTGCTCTTGTGGGAGAAACTCAAGAACGAGAGAGAGTTTTAATACATTTCTCCAATAGATATTTTTATTGTAACCCAGATACCATTGCTTCACAAGGTAATCTGATTGAAGTTCTTGAATTTCTTTTTTATAACAATGATTTATTTCCTTATTTTGAAAATTATATTTTATTTGAAAATATAGGAGATTATAGAGGAATCTGAAGATCATCTAAATACCTCTAATTACCTGAAGATAAGCATTAGTTAACACTTTTACTTCCATTTACATAATATTTGATGTCAAATTAGAATCATTGCATTTTCATTTCCTACTATCTTTTCCTTTCATTTTATTTTCTCATGTCACTAAGTATTCCTTAAAAACATATTTAATGACAGCATATTCCTTACTCTTAATTATTTTACTTTATTTTGCAGTTCCAAAGTATGCTAGGTTGTTTTCTTTAAGTTGGTCAGCTTTGTCATTCAGAGATTTTATGTACAAAGCACACTGCTTTAAAGTAAATTAATTATTGAAAACAAATTTCTTGTTGGGCATGGTGGTACACACCCATAATCCCAGCAGTCTGCAGGCTGCATTAGGACTGTTGTGAGTTTGAGGCCAGCCTGGGCTACATAGTAAGTTCAAAGCCAGCTTGAATCTCACAGTGAGACCCTGTCTCAAAACACCAAAGAAAAAAATTTTTTCTTCCCTTATATCCCCTTTTTCCTACACTTCTTGATGAAAATTTCTGTATGTTTAGTTCTTTGGTTTGTTTTGGAAACATTTACAAACCTGACTGGAAACTATCTCTTTGGTGTTTTTGTTTGATATTAATTATAAGAATACTGACCGCTGACTTCCATCTATGATCTATAATAAACTATGAGTTTATGTTTATTGAACTAGTATTGATAAGGATATTTGAGAATTTGGCTCATGAATTTTATAGTAATTTCAGGAATTTAAGTATAAATTAAGTATGTAGAATTTGTGATAGTAAAATGAAACTGGAATAAATATACTTCTAGACATTTAGTAGCATATGGCTAGACACATTGATAATAGAAATTGCCTACTGTACCAAAAGGTGTACTTTTAAAAAAAACAGTTGTTAATTTATGAATTCAGTAATTGGATAGTCCTTTCTGCACACTTAACATAAATTAGTAAGATTTCTATGTCTGAAACTTCTATTGCCTACTATACTTGGATTGAAAATTAGTAGGAAAAGAATAAATAGAACTAATTCTGATATTCAGATATAAGTAGCCTAACTCTTCATGATTTTTAAAACTATATAAAGTAAGAAAACAATCCTCCTTGTATGGGCAACTTTTTTCCCTTAACATTTAATTTTTCATCTTCACACATGTGTTCAATAGTTTACTTTGGTTTGATTTGTAGTATCCTAGACAAAACCATTCAACCTAAATGTATTACCTTGAAAGAATGAATGAATGACAAGAAAGATCACAATAAGCTGTGATCTTTATTTTCTTTAACTTTCTCTTCTCAATTTACTTACCTCTCAGAAGGTTAAGAAATGTAACAAAAATTAAGTAATTTTCGTTTTATATCATGTATATTAAAATATTGAGAATACATAAATTAAAACAAAATTTAATCTCATGACTGAGAAAAATCTCTTAATGTCATGGTGTTCATTTTTCTAGATGTTATTTATATTTAAAGTGAATTACACTGCATAAAATGTAGTTTTGTATAAAAATTTATTTTCAACTATCTTTCTATTTCAATATGTATACTTGGGCAACATTTCAAATGGCTTCCGTGTAACAGAACTGTGTTTCTAGAGGTTCATGTTTACTTGCCTGTCCCTGTAAGTGATGTTTCTCTGTATATCCTTGCACTTTATATAGATCTCTAATTGTTTCCTTAGTGTAAAGTCCCAGAACTAGATTTGTTTTGTGAAAGGACACTGGGGGATAATTTGACATTACATGTGTAGGAACCTTAGAACAATTTAGTAACAGTAGACTCCAACTCTTCGTATTGAGGTCTTTGGATAAATTTTTCACATGTATTTATTTTCTATCTCCCCAAACAAATAGGGCTAGTTTTGTTTTAGCCCAGTGTTAAGTAGTGAATTAATGCTTGCTGTCCATGTTTCTGTCTTTAGATGGAGTCCATTGCCTGACCTGTGCAATGATGCTTCTGAACACTGATCTACATGGCCATGTAAGTGTAGTTTTGTGAGGCTGTTTTATAAAAATCTAAATGTATCAAGGAGTTATCTTTGTTTTTGAGTTCATATGCATTTCTTTTTACTCTTTATACAGTTTCCACAGCAGGTAGATAACCATAAATCTTGAAAAAAAAAAAAAGAACATACCCTTTTATTTTACATGGAAGGACAGAACACAATTTTAAGTATACACCATATTGTCTAGGTGCCTTTAGTTTTAGGCATAAAGTGTATGTTCTGTATCTTTTTTCTCCACCAGATGGCAGACAGGTTTTACTTGTTTTTGTTTTCTTGTTTTCTTGGCTAGGCATTTTAGTTGTTGAAATATGTTGGAAAGAGAATATAAATTAGATGTGAAAATTAAGTGTAAGAGTCTATCTTTTTCTCCACTCCTCAGCTCATCTAGTTTTTTTAACTAGTTAAAATCAAAAGACTGTATCAAAATAATGTAATTACCTTCTCTTCTCCTGTTTAGAGAATAAGCTTCTTAAATTTATAATTATAAACCTTCACCTTTCATCAAAATGAAATTTTAGTATTTACTTAAATTCTTCACATTAGAGAAAGTGATAACTTTTTGATTGAATATACTTATTTAGAACAAAAATTATTTTATAGTCACATTTATTTTGAAGAAAAAAATCAAGTTTCTGTGTAATTGAGGAGTAAGTATATAATCCCTTGATTTGCTGTAATATAATCTACCTTATAGTTTAAAAAGCTACATGAAAACAACTAATTGTACTTTAGGTAGAATCTGCTATTCCAAATAGCCATATAGTTCCCGTATTTGAAACTTCAGTGATCCTCTTAAAAAAAAAAAAGGCAAAATGAACCTGTGTGGGACCACTAAGTTGAATAAGTTGTATCGAGACTACTGGGATGGGGAAAGGGTTCCTCCAGCAACCAAGTAAAGGAGAAATGTGGTACAATCATAAGTTTAACACTGTGTTCAAAATACTAAACTCGAAAGTTCCTTTTGAAGAAGTTGCAACAGATAAATTTAGAATAATTTAGTGGTACAGTGGTAACTTGGTTCACAAACACTTTTGTTTGCAAACAGTTTTGTTCACAAACAGAAGCATTTGGCAAAATTTTCTTTTGTTTGGGAACTCTGCCTTGGCTGACAAGCATGACTGCAGCCATGTTTCCCACACAAACACAGACATGGCCATTTTTTCCAAAACCATAGAACAAATTAAGTTCATGAACCGAGGTACCTGTGTATGTAGCATGTGTCCAGAGGTTTTACAGATTAAGAATATAGATATTTTCAGGGAACATTCTTGGGGAAGAGGACTGTAATATGCTGTGTGTTCATGAATCTTGACTCTTGTTAAGGCGATGGCCACTCTAGATTGTCCTGACTTCTGGTTTTTTTTCATCACCAGACAAACAAGGGTTCATGACTTTCTTCTCTGTCTGTTTTGTGATAACATTTGTAACCCGCCCCATCCTTCCCTTCCACTCCTCAATTTTTTAACCTGGCTTTCTGGCCCAGGAGATAATTTTGTGTATGTCAACGTACAACTTTGATCGAGCCAGGGATTTCTAGATGAAGGATCCTCTTCACATCAGATGTTTTGAAGTCTCGCCAACAGATGATAGTTTTATATTTAGCATCTGTTGACTCAGAAAATGTGGAATAACTGGAAAGAAAGAAAAAGAATTTAGTAATAGCTCAATTTTGTTTAAAGTTGCAGAATCTCAAAGACTTTCTATAGAGGTTGTTATATTTAGTTGGATTCATTTCTACTAAATTCTAGATTTTTTTTTAAAGCTAATATGGCTTTAATAATACTTTGAAGTCAACATATATCGTATTATTTATAATAATTTGAAGTATAGTACCAAATAAAGGTGAAAGTTTACTATTTATTCGTATGACTCAGTATGGTTGATGTCCAAAGGAGCTGTGGGTTCCCTAGGGCTAGAAGCCCAAGGCTTCAGAAGCATAGATCTAGTCCATTTGCTCTTGCCCTATCTTCAGACAATTTTGAGGAATCATAAGGAGATGAGATAAAACATCATGCTTCTTTTTGGTACCTAGGATGTAAGATATGGTTTATATTAATAAATGTTTTAATTTTGTAGAATTATGCCAATTATATGTAACTAACAATTGGCTATGGTAGCAAAATTAGTGATAATAAAAGGTAGAAAATTATAAATAAGAGTATATCTCCCTATCATGTTCTGAATCATATTTTTGGTGATAATTAGTTCTCAGCTTTGGTCTTAAAAGTGTGTGCTGTATTCTTAGGACCATATATTTAGCTTTTACATATTAGTTTTCTTTATCCTTATTTCCAGTGCATGCTATTACAAATCTGTTGAATGTATAGTTACTATCATAAATACTAACCATGTGAAATTGTGTTTCTCTTATCTGTTCCCTGTGGATTCATTTTTAAAATAAATTTCCTTTCTAGGTGGTAAGTTTTTAATCCATAGTTCTGGATGTAGCTTTTCTTGCATTATGATTGCCTGATTTATTGTGACAGTGTCTGACTCATTAGCATGGCCCCTCTGAAGTTGAAGCATTCAGAGATAAAGTGATTTATTTCTAATGTCTGCTCCTCTCCCCTGCTCCTTACTACTTTACTGCCAAGGCTATCACCACCCACTATGTGATCCAATGCCAGAATAATCCTCTTGGAGGGTAAACTAATAAACCATTTTCCTTTTCTTCCTTACCATTGTGTCATAAAAGCAATACAACAGCATGACTTTTCTAAGAACTGCAAAGCCCAGCTTGTCTCCATGGTGAGGGCTAACTTAGGAGGTTAATTCATTTCGACTGTTTCTGGGAATCTTTTCTTTAAGAACGGATGGACTGAAGATGCTTTTGTGTGAGCTGCTAATATTTTTACTAATAAAACAAAGGCATGTGTACTAATGAGTAACTTTCCATATAGCTTTCATGGTACATGTTGGAATCCTCCTTCCTTCCTAATGTTTTTTCTCATTCAGCAAGCACTGATAATGTTTCTGATTCATTCTGACTCCTGAGCATTTGGGTAAAGATCAGAAATGAACAAAATGTGTTTTGAAAGTGAAATCTTGTCTATGATAGTGCAGGCTAGGTTGCCCTACATTAGTCAGACTTAACTGAGGACATGGCTGCAGGTAACTCAGATCCAATGATGGAAGAATACTGGGAAGGTGTTTTAATTTTGTGTTGGATCATGGTTAGACTTCACTAATTAAGCTAAGACAAGATAGCCTTAAGTATATACAGCATTTTTTTTGAGAAATACATTGATGTCCTTCAGTACCTACTTTAAACATATATATGAATGATTTATCTTAACAGTATTATAACTTTACTTTTACTTGCCGCAAGTAGTTTATTGTCGTATTAAATAAATATAATTATGATCTCATGTGTAATTTACTGGATAATACCTTTTATTTAAAAGTAAATATGCAAATTAAATATCTGCACATATAAATTTGGATGAAAACAAAGTTCAGTTTCTTTTGCTCTGTTGTAACTGTGTATCGAATATTACTTTAACTATCAGCAAAAAGTTGAAAATCTTGTCAATTTAATATGCATTAGAAATGTTATGAATAAATGTATTTGCCATGTCAGAATAAATTCGAACCTATTCCTTTTCAAGACTACTCTTCGTATATGTTCTGTTGACTCTTAACTAGCTAGCTTTTTCTTAACTCAGGTCCTTGTGCTTGCGCAGCAGGCGACGAAACCACTGAGCTAAATCCCCGCTAGCTCTTGAAGTTAGTCTTCAGCCACCTAGTAGGAGTCCCCACTCTGAAGCCAGGTGTAGGGGGCAGGACAGTGGGCGGGTCCTTCTCTGAAGGGCTGGCGTTCTCAGGAGGGAGGAAGTCTGGGACAGATGCCTGTTGTCCTGAGGAGTGGACTAGATGGGAGCATAGTGAACTGGCCATTTTCACAACTAGCGAGTCTCAAGAAATTTGCAAGTCAGTGGCTGGCCACAGCTGGACCATGATTAGAAGGTGTAGCCAGGACATTACTTTTAATAAAAAATTTGTGACAAAAAAATCTGCCGTTTAACATTGTGGCTGGAGATTTTTAGAAGCAGTTTCGTCCAAAATCCCTCTGGGCTCTCTATTATTGGCAGGAGCCAGTCCAGTTCTTGATTTATCCTTAGAATATTGAAGGTATGCCGAGCTCTATCCTCTGTGGTCTGAATTTAATGTAAGGGGCGAGACCTTACTGGTTTTTTGGTGTTGTGTATTAAGTTTGATAAAGAGTAAAATGATACCTTAACATGCTGTAACATACTAGACAGTATGGCTAATAAACTGTATTGGTAGGGAGAATAGACCAAGGAATAAATTGAGTTTTGTAACAGATTCATGTTAAAAAGATAGGTGGAATTCAGTTTGACATGGGCCATAGGAATTCATTATTTTTCCAGTCTATAAACTGAATTCTTTTTTTTTTTTGGTAGTGGAGATCGAACTCGCATCCTTGAGCTTGTGCAGCAGGTGACGAAACCACTGAGCTAAATCCCTGGTCCTGTAAACTGAATTCTTTGTTTGACTTTGTAGGAGCCTAGAATTTTAAATGGTAGATAAATATTCAGTTTGTTATCAGTAGTGGAAAATGACTATTATAAAAATTGTAATTAAAGCAGTTTGGTGCTTTTACTTCTCATGTTATGCTACTTTATAGTTCCACCCTCAAAAGCACCACAAACCTCCATGAGATTGATGAAACCTGTGTAGTTAATGTCCTTAGGAAGTCTCTGTAACTGCCTTAAATACATTTTGGCTGTTTCTCTGCTGTCTTCTGTGGATGCCTCTTCTGTCTGTGCTGTTCTATATCCTTGGTGCCCTCTGCCATGAAAGCTGTCCTTGACTTCTGTTCTCTCTGAGCTTCACCATTTGATCCAGTCCAGCCACGAATTTAACTCTGCTAAGCCATCATTGCCTCCTTCCATTGGAGTCTTCTTTTCCACCTGCTTAAAGTCTTGTCTCCCCTTTCCCAGCCAGAATGGCT